AAAAGCATATATATAAAGCACATGGAATTTGACTTACCAAGGTTGAATCTTTCCCATTTCTCCACACAGGGCAATTGGGACATGCTCACTGAGTGTTTATAATTTTCGAGGAGGATAATATGTATGTAAACACGCGCACACAAGGTTAAAAAATTTAATCATTTAGTCATTTAGCAGGCCTACATTGACTTTTATATGTAAAGAAATAAAATAGTTATCCCCATCAAACCATTTTCTTTGACAATTTTCTAAAGTTACAGTTTTCAATGTGAAACAAGTGTAGAGTTGGTTTTTAGTCATTTGCACCCATTATCTTTGCTAAGAAGTGCATTAATTCATCGGACGATAGGTGTGGTTTGGATATTTGTGATTTACCTAAGGTACCAGACCTAAGTAAACGTCTAAATGTAATATTTTTATTGGAACTTTATGAAAAAGGATGCTGATAGCTTTTTCAACTCCAGACAAAAGATTGCATACAAATGAGCTCAAAATTCCATATAGTTTTTATTTCAGAGTGGGTATACCTGTGTACTACCATCTTCAACATGAAATAATCGGTATCTAGCTTATATCTCCGAAGTCCAAAAATCCAAATTTAGGTGCCCTTTACAGCAAAAAGACCAATTTCAAATCAAATCAGATTTTCCGATGATGTAAAGTACCAACCATTGAGTGAAGTCTGATGGATATATTGTAATTATTACTTAAATAGCAATTTTCAAACATTAGTGCTTGTTCTCACTATACATACAGATCCTTTTGTAATCTACAACATATTACCAGGGAGTCTCAACAGAAGCATATTTCATGTGTGAAAGAACACAAAACTTCAATTTTTTTTTTTTTTTTTGATATATATTTCACAAAATATTTCATATTAACCCACTTTCAACAGGTGTCCCACATACGAGACATCCAGAAAAAAATTGCTGGGCGTCCCGCTAGTGTGACACAGTATTGGTTCTTGCGCTCCAACTCATCAGCTGGTCGCGGCCGGTGCACGGGCAGAATCTGGGCCAGCCCCGCATGCTGATTTTGTAGCTACCCAGAAACTTTTATTTTCGGCTTCAAAATATACTGGCAGTAATGGGTTAAATCACTGATTTTTTTTTTTTTTTTTTTTTCTGATATTGGTATAAAAGTGTTTTTTGAACATTCACAATTCAAATCTATACACAAAATCATTTTCAAATGCCATATGCTTGATTGCAAGAAGCAAAAGCCTACACAAGTGTAGCCAGGCACATACTAGTGGTTTACCTAACCACATGTTAGTGGGTCTCACGTGCACTGCCCAAAAACTAACTGGACCTGGGCTTTAAAAGTAATATGGTAGTTTCCTCATTCATGTACCTATACAATATGCTAGCCAACTCGGTTTGACCCCAGGGAGAGTGTCATAGTAATTGAACCAAAATGGGATGCAGGCTACCTAGGGATGCTCTCAGGACCAGAGCCATTTGGCTTGTCAAACCTGAGCTTCTGGGAGGCAGACCTACATCTGGCTGGGCAATCAGGCACAAGTCAGGTCCTAGACGTACACAAAACCAATTGAACCACACCGTAAGTAGCCAACATCCCGGGCATGCGGTGCATAGGTTGGGCTTGCCCCTTCATCAGCTAGCCTAAGTTTGACTTCTCTGATTTCTTGACCCCTACCTCTCCTGTGATCAAGGTTCCGATTACTGTTAGTACTACCCCGTCCTCAATGCTTGCTGTCAACTTTATTCACTTCAAATCGTCTACCCAGGTCATTACTTAGTCTTCAGAATATGCCCCTTCCTCGCTTCCAACATCCTCCATGCCATCTCCTCCTCCTATGCAGTATCAGTACAGTGCTGCACTATTCCATCAAGATTCTGCTCTAAGTCCTACACCATTATTGCAAAGATTAGCTTCTATAGAAGTGACCTCCCTCAGATCCAAACTGGAAGCTCACCGCAAGCTTTTTTTCTCACCTTCTACTCCAATGCTATCATTTATTCTGCTCCATTCCCTTTTCCCAAGATGTCTCAACATCTCCCCCTCCTCCCTATTTCTTCTACCCATTTTCACCCTACCTCTATGCTCTCTCTACCCCAGTCAAATGCTTTTTGCAGTTTGAATCCAAATTTTCTGGCATGTCCCCTGTGCACACCTCTCCTCCATCTCACTTTACCTGTTGCAACAGGCAATCTAAATATTCTACCACATCTTCTACCACATCCTCTCCGACACCCACTTTTTTCCTACCAAATCCTCTCCTACACTCTCCTCTTCTCCTACCACATCCTCTCCTACACCCACCTTTTCTTCTACCACATCCTCTCCTACACACCCCTCTTCCTCTGCCTCACAGACATGTAAGTTTATATATAAAAGTTTCTTCTCAGCTTCAACGGTATTCCGAATGACTTTGTTAGTCTTTGGGACTATAGAGCAAGAAGCCTTTTCATTATAAATTGATTTATAAAGCTATCTGATGTTGAGCTTACATTTCTTCTCAATTCATGTCAGATCTGCAAAAAATGTAATTGATGTATGTTCGATAAAGTTTCATAAGTGTAACTGATGATTCAATCAAAATGCATCAGTTATATATCTCTTGTCCTGAAATTATTAATTCTCATTTATACCTTTTGCATCATATGTCACAGTAACTTTCATTACACCTTTATACATTCATTTTAGTTGGTAAATCTTTATTTTTTCATGCTCTGGTTCACAGTATTAGCCTATTTGTGACAATTTCAAGTGTTCCTAAATGTTATTAAGTGTTAGTTCTCGAAACTTCTAAAAGTCTGATTTTTAAAACCAATTTTCTCATTATCATTTTCATATGTTTTATAGCCTATGCCTCTTGTGTCTTGAAACTCCTATTCACTTCTTTTCATTTTGCTTCCATTTCTGTGGCTGACTCATTGGATGGCAAACAATAATGACTACCATGCAACAAAGTTATGAAATTATTTTTTTCTTATTGGAGTTATTTACTTACTTCCTATCTTTCTTACTTTTTATCTATCTAAGTTTCAGTATGTATTCAGTTTGTGGTTGCCCTCTTTTTTTTAGTATTTCTTGCTGCAACACATTTTCCATAGTATCACAAGTCATACTTATTTTTTATTTTATTTCTTTGATTTAATGCATTTGCATGCTGATGCAAAGAAAGGGTAGCTTTAAGTTTGAAGCTAATATTTCTTTTTCATATTTTGTGTTGTTTGGGAGCATCCGTCAATATTTACTCTTTTTATTTTTACATGATCATCTCAAAACTCAATTGTAATTGAAAATTACATTCTGAGTTGTTAAAAAAGGAAAAATTCTCAGATTTTCATGGTGAAAAAGTGGGTATCCAGAGGGCCTAGCTTGAGGCAAATTTTTTTTATCCATGAACATAGACCTGGTCTCATCTTATTCAGAAAAAAGTAGTTGCCAGGTATCCCATCTTTTATTGATTTCCACGCTTTGTTACTAGCTTATGAAATAGTGGATTTCCATAAAAAAAAAAAATAAATAAACATTATAATATTAATTCTCTTATATAGAGAATGACATGAGAATGAAACGACTAATATGGATACCATGCACACTGTTTTGTATATTGCAACTTGTGGAATGAAACCCATTTCTACTATTTGTGAATGAAACTACTTCAACAGTTTGATGCTGTGTAATAATATAGTCCTTATGATATATTTACTATTTTGCTTAAAAGGTTTTTGATTTTGCAATTATAATTATACCTTTGGAAAATATAGACAAAGGATCTTTAATGCTAAAACTGCACATGAGAGGAAGATGTGACTTATGCATTGATTGAATACCCTAAATCAGTGACTAGCTAAAGATACTACTTTTTATTTTTGCAACCCCCAGTGTATGATTTATTGCACAATCATGCATAAGTTCTTTATTTGAGAAATCTGTACTCTTGTTAGTTATGTGATTTGTATGACCTGTCCTTTGTGTATATCTACTTGTGTTTTGTTTGCAGGAGCAAAGCCGCATGAAGCTGACCCCACTGAAGAGGTTGCAGAAGAATGACTCACGTGTGGCATCCCCCTCTGTGCAGTCTCCTGGCGGCCCGTTTGCTGTTCGCAGCTCCTCCTTCCAGCTTGTTGGCTTCACTCACCTTAACATTTCTACACTCACCAGGAATGCTTGGACACTTGAAAAGGTAGATGGCCTAAGATATAACTACACCTAAATGAAGTGAATCCTTTGTGGTGAAGACTTTTTTTTTCCATAGATATGAAAGGCTTATTTTGGGTTTTATTTGCTTCGCAGTTAAGTTTTGTTGGATATAGGTTAATTATTTTATATGTGTACTTATCTGTGAATATACATGTATGTATGTATTCATATAACATTGTACATATGTATATGCAGACATTTGCCTAAATTTGCTTCTGGAATGAGATTCTCATCAAAGTTTTCTGCTTTTGTAATAGGTCCCTTTTTCCTCACCATTGGATGGCCATCTGCTGATGAGCGTGAGTTGTAGCTTTGAGGGAGGCATCACAGAGCGAGGCTTCCTCACGATGTTTGAGGATGTTGGGGGCTTTGGTGCTTGGAACAGAAGGTGGTGTGTCCTTAGCGGAATGCACCTTCGATACTGGAGATATCCAGATGATGAGACCAAGAAGGTAGGGAGATGGAGCACTAGATGACACTTGTCTAAAAATTATTTGGGATTTCATTTTAGGAATTAGATTCTGCATAATAATTTTAAAATTCCATCAGCAGTGATTATGCATTTCTTTGCAGGATGCCATTGGACAGATCGATCTACGTAGATGCACAACACGGCGTGTAGAGCTTGTGGCAAGAGATGTTTGTGCCCGTCAGCATACCTTCCAGTTGACCTGCGTGCGTCCTGCTTACAGTGGGGATATTAATAATCTTGTTCAAGAGATTCATGGTTCTGCTCTTGTTAGCAAGTGGGTATCTTTGTTCTAAGAAGTGTCATACTTTTGTTTATATCTTTCTCTATTTTGTATTCTTGTCCTTTTTCCTTTTTCGCTCCTCTACGTTTTGATGTACAATTTCTTCAGTTGACTGAGGTTGAAGATAGTGTCTAAAATATGACTGGTAATTTAAGGTTGTTTCTACTTTTTCCTTAGGTTGCTCTTGTCTGCAGACAGCAAGGAGGAGAGAATTCTGTGGTGCAACAAGCTTAACAAGGCTTTGGCTAACATCAGGGCTTGGGATCCTGATGCTCTTAGGCCAGAGGATTACCAAGTATAATGGCCACATCTCTTTAAGGATATTTGCAGCTTAAATAACAAAAATTTGCTTTTGAAAAAAAAAAAAAAAAAAAAAACTAATTTCTTGGGCCAAATGATTAGATTTAGAACAGTAGGTACTTATTTTTATTTGCCAATTTGACAGTTTTCATTGACAGGAAAGTGAGTGCCTTGCCAAATTTCTTGATGTTTATATAAAACTTATTACCTGAACGTGATAGGAAACACATTAGTTTATGATGGAATATATATATATTTTATAGCAGAGATGCTTTTTATGAACATATTTCTTCTTTTCATAGTGTGCTTTCATATGCTTTATTACAATGATTTACTTTTATTGTAGTGGGATTTATTTATATTTAAATATGTAGTATATGTTACTAATCACATGTCTTATCAGTTTCTGAATAATGGCAAACTATCCAAAGGAATATTTGTTGAACACATCTGTGCTTGCATTGAACATGCAGAAATGAGCAGTGATGATTCAGTAATAATGTTCTTTTGTATGAATAACTTATCCTTGACTTTGCAAAGTAATTCATACCTCACTCCTCTCTAGCCATACATTTTGATTACATTGAGGCAGTACAGTATGCATTTTATACTTTTGGGGTGCAGGATTTTGAATTTTTGAAAGAGATTCTATATAGCCTTATAAACTAGATATTTTTCTATGGGAGTGCTGACTAAATATTGAAGATTACATGGGGATAACTTTCCTCCAGTTTATTTATAACATCGTCTTTGTAGGTCTATAGCATCCCTTATACAGTCTGTCCTATTGTAATAAAACAGTAGCAAAAACAGGAGTTTACTTGAAATGTCCTCTCTTATAACCTGATTAATTTAACAAAGTTCACCATCAATTTATTAGACTGTTAAGGTATTTTTTGTGGGGGTGGCTTCCTAAGCTTCTAATCCTCAGGACCCCTAGGATGTTCTTAGGGTTACATGAGCATTTGAAAAAGTAAATAAATGTAAAAACAGAGATTTTGTTCATTTTTAATAAGTGTATGTATGCTGAAGTGGCTGGCTAGGGCTTGAGTTGACTAACAGTAATTTTTGCTATATACTTCTAGTTGGACACTGAGGGTTCCAGGCCACAGAAATTCTGGTATTTAGTTATGCACTCCTCAAATTTGTGCATGATATTGTGGAGGGTGTGACAAGGGCAGTGATTCAGTAATTCCCAAGGGAGGTGCAAACCATAGCATACAGGACCTTACCTGCTCAAATAAGGAATGTCCTGAATGTGGCTATCAAGGTTGTCAACTTTATCAAAGGTAGAGCCTTTAACAGTTGTCTTTTCAAACTGTTGTGTATGGATATGGAATCTGAATCAATGAAGCCTTGCTTTTTCACACAAATATGTGATGGCTATTAAAGGGGAACATGCTCAGATGGCTTTATGAATATCAGAAATAACATTTCTAGAGTTGAAGCAGAAGGCAAATCACCATGACAAGTTCCAATTCAAAGGCATTCAGCTATCTATCTCTATCTTACCTGGTGGACATCTTTGAAACTGAATGCTCACACCTCAAACTACAAGGGAAAATCATCTATATTCTCAGCACCACAACAACATTCAAACCTTCATGACCAAACTCACCCTCTGGAAATGTCAAATTCAGTAGGGAAAGACAGCCAGTTTGCCTTCTGCTCTCATTCACAATAACCTAGATTCTAAGTCAAAGAAACAAATAATGACTCCTCTAACTGATTTGAAAACAGAATTCATCAGCAACCTCCCAAATGTAGATGAGAAGAGTGAAGCCTGGAAATTCATCAGGAACCCAGCTCAATGTAAAGCAGTTGATGTTTTTGATGGAGTGCAAGAGATACTTTCTTGAGCTGAAATTGACCTCTACAGCTAAGAAATGTTTTAAAGAATTGCATCTTGAGATGCTCTGAGTCAAATACCAAATAGAGGGCAGCCAGCTGTGGAGCGACAGTGTTTAGCAGGGTGGCCAGACTCTCCGCAAATATAAACTTCATAGAGGAGGTTATGTCTAAGGAAGCTAATCTAGTAATATTGGTGTAGGAATTCGGTGGCCACTTGGAGGAATAGTGTAGCATTGTACTGCTTCTGCATCATAGGCAATGAGGCAAGCAAGTAGATCGTTTTCATAGTGGCCAATCCTTGCCATAGGAAGGGCAATGAAAGGTGGACAGGCAGGATGTCAGCATGTACAAACAATGTCTGTGAGAGTCCTTCAGAGTTTGGCTTCTATGTGTCATTAAACCACCCATATAAACCTTGTATCTTTTGTGTTTTTATCATCAGAGAATCCTAGCCGTGCATATATTTTACTACAGAAATATATTTTTAAATCATTCTGTGTCCAGAGGTCAAAGAAACAAACCATAAACACAGAGATTTTCGTTTTTGCTTGTCATTGGAAATATCTGGATATGATTCCTCTCAAATGTCTCATTTCATTTCTTTGATTTGTATATTGTTAATAACGTGTGTGGATATCAAGTTTGAACATATAATATGGCTTTGTTACTAATGAATATTATGAATTTCAAGAGAAATCTTTTAAAGCGAATCAAGTTAAATAAACGTGTATATAGAAGGCCAATAAAAAATGTTACTAAATTCAGATGATGCGTGTAAATGGCATAGCCAATCAAGGTCATATAAGCACAAGCTTGTACCTAGCAGGGCTGTCATTCCAGCAATACCTGTTTTCCCAGTACCCTATGACGTAGCGATGAAGTAATAATGACGTAGTCGGTTGGGTATGATGTCCGAGTTGGTAGATGAGAGATACCAGAAATGGCAAATTGTTTATATGATATACAGGCATATAAATTGTATTGTTTAATGTAAACAAAATTGCTTTGGTTTGGCCCACAGGCCCCACACAGCATTGACAACGAAAATATAACACGGAAGGCGAATCTTCCATTGGCTTCTGTACAGAAAAAATATTTTCTGAAGGTTGCTACTGGCATGGAACGCTTGTATGAACACAACTCTGCGAACCAAAAGTTCGCATGATCGGAATTTGATGTTTTATGGGTGATATCGAAAATAAAATGCCATTACCGTTTGCTTTTATTTCTTTATATATCTATTTCTATATTACATCACCATACACGTCTAACACACATGAAAAAAATAGGAGTTCCCAATGCACAGCATTGGGAACTAGACATTTCTCAACCTTCCAAATTGTTAGAATTGTTTGCTGAGTAATGTATGCAATTTTATTATTACATTTTCACATTGCGAGATACCCAATACTTTATCACAGTGTTTTCTAACACATTTATTTCGCTTTTAACCATTAACCATTATCACAGTTTTGCATCACTTTTGATGTATCACTATATCTTAAATACGCCGTTAGTGACTTTAGATGCTGACACGGCAGATTTTTTTTTTCAGTAACTAAATTACTAAATAGAAGCTGGGCCCAAGGGAAGTATAAGGTCTTCCACTGGAAATCGATGTTACGTGTCATTTTCAAGTTTACCGAAATTTATTTGCAATTTAGCCACTGCCATATTTTCTTAAGTATACCAAAATATGTTTGCGAACCAAACGGCCACGCTGTTGCTGGCTCCGCCCGGCTTCACTGAACGTCTCCCATTTTATTTGTTTTTTAAATTGTGTGTGTGTGTGTGCAACAGGAACAACGAAGGGAAGGGCAAGAAAACAAACGAATATGCCGAAGGCCTTTTCGCTATTGCTTCGTTAGGGCATATACTACAAGATCAGTTCAGTTCATTTCAGTTAAATTTGCGAAGTCACCTTCACCCGGGCCTTTTCTCTGGAGTGGCCCGGCCTGTGTTAGCTATTTCTAGATAACTCAGATGTTTTCTTTGAACTGCATGCTTATCGCGGTGGCTGAATTGCGAGCAAGCGATCCAGCTGCCACAGGGTAAGCATGTTGCAGACTCTTTTTACCAGCCCGGCGGCTGTGGTGGGTGGTCTCTGCCTCAGAAATTGTGTGTACACAATTCTGCAAGTAATGTAACAGGGTGGCGTTAGGCTCGCTGCAGTGTTTGCATAACCTGGCAGTCTCATTGTCAATAATTTGCCAAGCGCATTGGTAACCTAGTCTTAGTCTGAATAGTATGACTTCGGTACCTCTTTTTGAGTTTGGAGGAAGGGCCAGTGGCTCATAGCCTGAAACATCTGAGTACCACTTGGCAGCGATCGATTTTGTAATAATATTTTCTCTATGTGCTCCCCGGACCGCACACGCTGCAGCTTTGGTACTTTGGCTTAGTCCCCTTCGGCTGGGTTTAACGATCATGGGGGATGGGGACATACCCCTGCCCTTTTCAGTTAGTTTATCAGCAAGCTCGTTCCCTTGTATGCCTATGTGGCTTGGGACCCAGTTTATGATGATTCTTCTACCTTGACTAAGGATTCTTTGGGCTATGGTTAGCACTGTTGTCAAGAGGGGCATGCTATGCTGTAAGCTGTCAATAGTTGCTCTTGAATCTGTGTAAATGACAACGTGTCCTCCCCTCAGGGACGCGTGTGTCAATGCTTCCATGATCGCAACCGTTTCAGCCTGAAGCGTTGAGGCATTGTCAGTGACCCTAATGGATGCTGTGGTATCCTTTGTTGCAAAGCCGGCGCCTGCAGTATGGTTTATTGGATCCACGGATCCGTCCGTGTAGTATGTTATACTACCCGGCGGAGTTATTTGTTCAATGACCCTTTGTGCTTGTGCCTTTAGGCTAGGCATGGAATATTGATCTTTTCTCATTGTGAGATTTAGAATTGAGAATTCGATCATTTCGTTTGCCCACGGCGGGGTTCTTTGTAATCAGGGTGGGGGAGTCCATACCCTTGGCAAGCAATGAATCTTTTAGCTGAAAGCGTATCAAAACTCTGGCTGTATGTGTGAGCCAGGAATTGTCGCAAACAACTGGTAATCTTGTAGGCGTCTGAGAACTCTTTGTCTTAGATAGGAGTTTGTGGGTGCCTGCAGGACCTTGGAAAGGAACTGTGCTGCCATTAGATCAATTCTAGTGTCCATGGACGGTAAATCAGCTTCCATGAGGAGGTTGATGACCTTTGTCCACTTAGGTGCACCTAGAATTATCCTGGCTGCTTCGTTTTGTATTGTTTCCAGTTTTTCTTTTAATGTTGTGCTGGAAGCAATGAGGGCGACAGATGCATAGTCAATAATAGGACGGACAGCATGTACATAGAATGATCTTAGTACTTTGTGTCCTGCTCCTATGTGTCTCCCTGTCATGACTTTCATGACTGACAGTCTTTCCTTGGTTCTGTCAAGCAGGTATTGGATCTCCTTTTTGAAAGTGAGTGTGTGTCCTATCCATACACCAAGGTATAGATAGTCCTTCACCCATTCCAGATCCATACCCTGTATAGTGAGTTTTTTGTTTCTGACATTGGTTCTCAGTGCCATTGCTTTGGATTTTGCTGCTGATATTTTTAGACCCGTCCTACAACACTCTTCAGACACCAGGTTCAGACAACGCTGAGCTCTAGTAGGCAGTGATTGCCAGAGGCTATGATTGCCAAGTCATCTGCATAAGAGATGATCTTGCATCCCTCTGGCAGGTGAATGTCGAGTATGTTGGACATGAGGGTATTAAACAGGGCTGGACTAAGAACCCCTCCCTGAGGAGTTCCATTTTCAAGTGGCATGTGCTGTGAGAGGTGGCCTTGAAATCTGACATTTGCTGATCTATTTTTAAAATAGTCAGCTATCCAGGCCAAGAGTCTGCCTTTGACTCTTTGTGGATTAGGGTCTCTTGAATGGCAAGCGGACTTGAAGCCTTCTCCAGGTCAGGGAAGACAACCACGGCGGGCGAGGTGCAGATTGTGCTTACGAGTGTGGAAATGCTATGAGCAGTGCTCTTAACCCTTGTGAACCCGTGCAGGTGTTCATGGGGGGGACCCGTTTTCCATTGGAGCCTGTTGAGTACCATCTTCTCAGCTGTTTTACCCAGGCAGCTGCGAAGAGAGATGGGACGGTACTTGCCAGGCTCCTTTGGTTTTGGGATGGGAACTATTGTGGCTTGTTTCCAGCTCTGGGGCACCGTGGCTGTTTGCCAGGATTTGTTGATAACCTGCAAGAATGCAAGTTCTCCTGCAAGGCCTAGATGCGAAATGATGGGGTGAGAGATCCCATCAGATCCCGGTGCTGACCCAGAACTGGATCTGTATGATTTTCTTAGTTCCCTAAGAGAGAACAAGGCATCCGTTTCATCAGCTTCGAGTGCCTTGTCTCCTATGAGAGCAAGTCTTTCTGGATTTAAGTTTTGTTGTTTTTCTCTCATCATTGGAGGCAGATTGTTGGTACTGGTTCTGGCAGAGAACTCAAGCACCAATCTGTTAGCCTCTGATTGTGGGTCATGATGAGTGCATTTCGGGGCTTGGCGGCTTGTCGCTTGCCTGACCTGTTTCCACAACTCTGTAAGGCTGGTCTGGTGCTCAAAAGTTTGGCACAACTGACTGGAGAAAGGGGTTCTTGCTTTTATGGCTACAGATATTCCACTGCAGAATGCTTAGATTGTGTGCCATGATGGTTACTCAAAGTCACTTGCTTCAGCTTCAGATGCCCCAGTGCTGGTGGCATCAGATAAATACAGATCCTAGTTGATTGAGGATTGTACAACTTCCTCTAAGTCAGACACTCCGGTTAAGGCTCTACCGAGGGGTGTAGAGCCTAGGTTGGAAGTGCTACCTCGGGTCAGGGGACGAGACTTTGGCTGTACAGACTCGGCCTGCAGTGGGGGCTTCTGCTACACAGTTTCAGCCTGTCCTGACAGACTAGCTGCGGTTTCACGTAATGCTTCTCCTGAAGCTAGCCTGCCATCCAAGGATTTAGGGAGGGGAGCACTGTTCGTTATCGGTTTGGAGGCTTCTAGCTTCCTTCCCTTCAGAGCTGCCACAGTTTGGGTCATAGCCGTCATTGCGACCTGCACTGCTTTCTCCGCCTCCTCACTGGTCCTCCCCAAGGCTGAAACTACAGCACTCAACAGGAGAGTCATATCTTTCTCGTCAAAGAAAAGATTATCATCTACTGGGGGACCATTGCTGTGGACTTTGAACCTTTTTCCCTTTGGTTCTTTTTTGTGGTTTTGCCACTAGCAAGCTTGGGGAATTCCTCTCTGTTAGAGGTATCCAATTTTCGCTGTGGGGCGACTCCTTCCTCTTAGGAGGTCGGGGAGTCTTTTCTTTTTTGTTTTTTGCCCCAGACGTAGGTGCCTGGGGGCGCAGGGACAAAGTCAGGACGCTTTTTGGCTAGCTCCTGCTTT